GGCACAAGACAAACATCAACAGATACACCAAGATTGAAATCATACCAACCATCTTTTCTGACCACGAAGGCATCAAACTAGAAATAAATCATAAAAAGAAGGCAAGGAACTATCCTACCTCATAGAGATTAAAAACCACACTACTGGAAGACCACTGGACTAACGAGGAGATCAAAGAAGAAATTAAAAAATTCTTTGAATTGAATGACAAGGAGGACACCAATATCCTAAATGTATGGGATGCAGCAAAAGCAGTAATAAGAGGAAAATATATAGCAATAGAAGCTCACATCAAAAAACAAGAAAGAACTCAAAGAAACAACCTAATCTCGAAGCTCAGAGATCTAGAAAAAGAACAACAAAAAAACCCCAAAACCAGTAGAAGAAAAGAAATAATAAAAACCAAAGCAGAAATAAATGAAATTGAAACTAAAAAAACAATCCAAAAGATCAATGAAACCAAGAGCTGGTTCTTTGAAAAAATAAATAAAATAGACAAACCCCTAGCCAGGCTCACAAAGGAAAAAAGGGAGAAAGCACAAATACACAGGATCATAAATGAAAGAGGAGAAATCACAACGGACACAGCAGAAATCAAAAGAATAATCAGTAACTACTATGAACAGTTATATGGAAACAAGTTCAACAATCTAGAGGAGATGGACAAATTCCTACAACTCTACAATCACCCAAAGCTAGATAAAGAAGAAATAGAACACCTAAACAGACCAATTACAAGCAGCAAAATTGAAATGGTAATCAAAAACCTCCCCAAAAACAAAAGCCCAGGACCTGATGGATTTACAAATGAATTCTACCAAACATTCAGAGACGAATTAGTGCCTATCCTTCACAAACTCTTCCAAAAAATTGAGAAGGAAGGGACAATACCAAACACGTTCTATGAAGCCAATATTACACTAATACCAAAACCGAATAAGGACAACACAAAAAAGGAAAACTATAGGCCAATCTCCCTAATGAACACTGATGCAAAAATCCTCAATAAAATTTTAGCTATCAGAATCCAACAATGTATCCATAAGATAATTCACCACGACCAAGTTGGATTCATTCCAGGGGCACAAGGATGGTTTAACATCCGAAAATCAATCAACGTTATCCAACACATCAACAAAAAGAAATATAAAAACCATATGATAATATCAATAGATGCTGAGAAAGCTTTCGACAAAGTGCAACACCCATTCATGATAAAAGCCCTTGAAATTCTTGGGATACAAGGAACATACCTCAACATCATAAAGGCCATCTATGACAAGCCAACAGCCAGTATCATTCTCAATGGTGAAAAGCTGAAAGCAATTCCATTAAGATCTGGAACAAGACAAGGATGTCCACTCTCACCACTGCTTTTCAATATAATACTGGAAGTCCTAGCCAGAGCAGTAAGACAAGAGAAAGACATACAAGGAATCCAAATAGGAAAAGAAGAAGTCAAACTATCACTATTTGCAGATGATATGATAATATACATAGAGAACCCCAAAATCTCCACAGAAATACTAATTCAACTCATCAATCAATTCAGTAAAGTGGCAGGATACAAAATCAACACGCAAAAGTCAGTAGCCTTCCTATACACAAACAATAAATCTGAAGAAGAAGAAATCAAAAAAACCATCCCTTTTATTATTGAAACAAAAAAAATCAAATATTTGGGAATAAATCTAACAAAAGAGGTAAAGGACCTATACAAAGAAAACTATAAAACACTGTTAAAAGAAATAGAAGAAGACACAAAGAAATGGAAAGACATCCCCTGCTCATGGATTGGAAGAATAAACATTATTAAAATGGCCATCCTACCAAAAGCAATATACAGATTCAATGCTATTCCAATCAAAATCTCAATGGCATTCTTCAAAGAAATAGAACAATTATTGATGAAATTCATATGGAATCACCAAAAACCCTGAATAGCCAAAGCTCTACTGAAAAAAAAGAAGGAAATGGAGCCATCACACTCCCAGACTTCAAACTATACTACAAAGCCATAATCATCAAAACTGCATGGTATTGGAACAAGAACAGACATACAGACCAATGGAATCGAATAGAAAATCCAGAAATAAACCCACAGATTTATGGTCAACTAATCTTTGACAAAGGAGCAAAGACTATGCATTGGAGCAAAGAAAGTTTGTTCAATAAATGGTGCTGGGAAAACTGGGTCGCTACATGCAAAAGAATGAAGCTTGACCACTACCTCATACCATACACAAAAATCAACTCAAAATGGATTAAAGAACTAGACATAAGACCTGAAACCATAAAATACATAGAAGGAAATATAGGCGAAACACTACGGGATTTGAACATCAAAGACATCTTTACAGACACATCACCCAAAGCAGTGATAGTGAAGGCAAAGATAAACAGCTGGGACTACATCAAATTAAAGAGCTTCTGCACAGCAAAAGAGACAATAACAAAAACAAAGAGAAACCCCACCAACTGGGAGAACATTTTTGCACCCAACACTAATGATAAAGGACTGATCACAAAAATCTGCAAAGAGCTGATGAGACTCAGCAACAACAAAGAAAATAATCCAGTCAAAAAATGGGCAGAAGAGCTAAAAAGAAACTTCTCTGAAGAGGAAATGCAAATGGCCAACAGACATATGAAAAAATGTTCAACATCACTTGTAATCAGGGAAATGCAAATCAAAACTACCATGAGATACCATCTCACACCAGTGAGAATGGCACATATTAAAAAAACTAGCAACAACAAATGTTGGCGAGGGTGTGGAGAAAAAGGAACTCTTGTGCACTGTTGGTGGGAGTGCAAACTGGTCCAACCACTATGGAGAGCTGTGTGGAGATTTCTGGACCTACTAAACATAGAGCTTCCATAGGATCCAGCAATTCCACTCCTAGGTATTTACCCAAAGGACACAGAAACATCAATTCCAAAGAGCACCTGCACCCCTATGTTTATAGCAGCACTGTTTGAAATAGCTAAGCTTTGGAAACAACCCAAATGCCCAAAAATAGATGACTGGATCAAGAAGATGTGGTACATATATACCATGGAATATTACTCAGCATTCAAAAAAGATAAACACATGCAATTTGCAGCAACATGGATGGCGCTGGAAGGGATCATGCTCAGCGAAATAAGCCAAAAAGAAAAAGAAAAATACTGGATGGTCTCACTCATAGCAGGAATCTAGAAAACTTAAATAAGGGACCAGGAAAATGAATATAAGAAAGTGAAAATCAAAATCAACAAAAAACTATGAACCAGAGACACTTTTTGGGGGGTGGGGGGCGGGAGGGGAAGGATTGGAGTCAGAATGGGGCGTTTGCAATTGTATGGGGGAATATAAAAATAAAATTTATTATTTAAAAAAAAAAAAGAGCAGCAATGCATACATATTTTTAAATGGTGACTAATATGATTGTTATGGGTTGACTGTGTTTCCCAAAAAAAAGACACTCTAAACCCCAATTCAGGATATGACTGAATTCAAAACCTGACTTTTACAGAAGTAAGCACGATGGTCATGTGATATGTACAAGATGGTCAAGTGATTGTCTTGTGATGGTATAATATATATATATTATATTATACATATACTATAATTATAGTATATAAATAGTATATATAGTATGCTAGTGTATATATGCTATAGTATATATATATATAGTATATATCTGCATGCTTGCATATTTTCAAATGCTTGAACTATTTCACTTTAAAAAATGAATGCAGTAATATGATTCATTCATAAAAGTTTACAATTAAATGCCAGAGTAATATTCAAAAAAATTTGGATGCACTTTAGAGCATACAAAATTTACTTTAGATTTTTTTAAAAGCACATGAAAATGAGTTTGGAATGATTGAGTCAGAAAGTGGAATGGTAATTGCCAGAGGCTCGGGGAGGGAGACGTGAATTGCTATTCAATGGCATAGTTTCTGTGATGCAAGATGAAAAAGTTCTAGAGATGGACCTTACAACATTGTCCTTATAGTTAACAATACTGCCCCATACACTAGAAAAATTTTAAGAGCTTATATATCATGCTACTTGTTTAAAAAAAAAATGTCCACCACACCATGCATGTTAATGAATATCCCTAAGCTTTAATTATCAAAAGTTTAAATGATCATTAATAACTGGGTACATTTATAGCATTACAGTAAGAATTAAAGAATACACAAATACACAGTGTGACAAGGCTGAATCAAAATAAATTACAAATATCCTCTTTTCCAATTTCAGGAAAATACATTTACTTGTGTATGTGCTGGTTTGTTAACTTTCCCTTTTCTAGCATGAAAATGAATTCAAGATTCATTTCTCTGTACAATGTCTACCACCTATTTATTTAATGTTTTCCTTTTTTCACCGAAACATTCACCACCATCTCAAGATTTAGGAATATTCGTCAGTGTGAAGGCTTGTGAGAGAGCTACATAGATAAGAACCCCTGATATTAGAATAAGGGGCAAGATTCTTTTTGTTTAATTCACTATTATTTAGCAAATTAAGTAGTAAAAATGATGTCAGAGTCTTATTCAATATTTCTGGCCTCATGGGTAGACACAATGAACAAGAATGATGCCTGAAAATTTGTAGGGAAACAGATCTCAGAAGCCACAATCCTTATCAGCACAATCTTCCAGCAATTTTTTTTTTCTGAGGGGTGGGAGATGGCAGGGGATGGGATGTCTCCTGTTTGCCCCTCTGGACCTCACCCTTCTGGGCTCTTGTGCCTGAGCTAACCTGCACATATTGTGGAAGGATCCCCTGCTCTAGCCTCTGTATGCTGATGGTTTTAACCAGTCTGGGGACAGTGGCAGGACACTGGAAAGAAGGAAATGGTATAAGCAGGTATTTCTGTTCCTGCTCCTCTCTCCAGATTTGCAGTGGAATCCCCACTTCTCAACCTGAGGCTGAGGCTCCTTGCTTGCCTTAGCATCCCCTATTCCACTTTCAGACAAAAACTCCCTGCCCTGCTTACCCAGAGGTTGCACCAGGGTTTCCCACAATTGCTACCATCAGGATACTGCACGGTTTGTCTCCCTAAATCTTGCCCACCTCTTTATCAGGCTCTTCTCATATCACCCAATTTGAAGGTCCCTGTGGAGACAGGGAGGAAGAAAAGAAGAAAAAAATCAAAATAAGAAAAGACACAGAAATGTTAAGTGCACATAGGTGACTCAGCCACACAGTCCGCCTTCCCACTGTTAATGGCTCTATTTGTGTGGAAAAAAGAATTAAGTAAAAGTTTTGCAATTAAATATACTAAATTTTATGAACACCATAGTTATAATTATTCCATGTTTCTGAAACAAGATTGCATTTTGCAGAGTTATTTATCTAGATTTTAAATCAGTCATTTTTGTATCCCCACCCCTAAAACATGTAAGAATCCTGAAATGGGTAGTTTTTTCTCTTACAGACATGAAGAAACTGAGTGTTGGCCCAAATAAATGATTTGGAATATATATAGATTATGTAAGTGTTTGACAAAAGAATGAAAGCCCCATTGGGGAGATTTAAAGTCACCGCACAATTTTAAATGGTTTTGATGACTCTCTAACTCATCAGGACTACTACCTAGTAACTTTAACATGCCTGACTTAAGACCTTTGTAAGCTTACAACATAAATATGACATTCACTACCTAACAACCTATGTGCAAAGGGAGAAGTGAATTGAAATAAATAATACCCTTCAATGGAAAAGTTTGCTGCCCTGTCATTCTCACTCCCAACTAAATATTCTGGGCCAAGGGAAGACTTCCAGAAGGAAATTCATCCAAAAAATTTTCATCTTCTTCCTTTACAAAGAGAACACAGAGTGCCCTCCTGTGTATAAAGTGAAAATAAATCCCTAATATTACCAATATCACCAAGATAACTGTAAGAGTCATTGTTTTTCTAAGAGAAATTTATAAATATTGTGACATTCTTAAGCACAAATATTTAATATAAATATATTTAGTAAATATTTTATAAAATGTTTAATATATTTACTATTTTTATAAAATATATAATGATAAAATAAATGTTGAATAAGTTGTCATACTGTGGACATTGTTTCATTTTTGGAGCAACATTTTTTTATAGCATTATGTAGGTTTCAGATACATAGCATTGTAAGCCAACATCTATATGCATACATCAGGAGCCCCACCCAAAATCATTATTGTTTTCAATTCCAGCTATGTAGTATTTACACCTGGAGTTGGGGGAATCTCAGAAATGCGGATGGATTTAAAACACAGCCTCATTTTATTCTCCAATTAAACTAAACTAAAATTAAAGTCTCAGATATCTAAATTATAAACTATAATATCAAATTACAAAAATTTTAAGATTTAGAGTGCTACTAGAATGTTCAACACTTAAGAGACATTAAGACAAAGTTTACAAACAGTCACTATGAATGTCCAAGATTTTCCTCATCAGGGTTTTTAACTAAATTAATTTGTGTAGGATAACTGTCTTCTGCAGCAGAGAACTCCTAAGTATTGGGCTTTTTTCCTCCATGAGTCTTACAAAGTTGTCGATTTCCAGAGGGACTGTCAGACAAACCCAGTTCAACTTGAAAAGGACACCACTTGTCTGCCAATGATGATTTGATTACAGTTAGGCTATTAGGCAGAACTTTCAAGCAAATTTCTACATAAGTGCTTGAGTTAATAAAATAGCATCCATTTATCTCCTGAGAAAGCCATCCATCACATGTCTAAAATTACAAATTTGGAAGACATGGGGTACCAGTGAGAGAATTTGTTTTTCAATAGAAATACTGATAAGTAGTCATATTTTTATAGTTGGAAATCAATTTGATTTCATTTTGGAGAGCAAATGGCCTGGTTTTGTGCAGAGGCTTTACTTTAAGCTACTTATACATTCTTACATTCCTATCTATTTGTTGTGTTCTAGTGTCCTCCAATGGATAATCTTGATAGTACTGGCATTGCAGAATCTATCTGAATCTGAGAATCTCCAGGAAGCTGAATGGTACATGAGCTATGTGAGCAAATAATCTTTGAAAGAAACCCAGTTTCCCTATCTGGACTGAATCAAGTAACTCATCAAAAGTCATTTTTCCTTAATAGACAATGAGCTCCAGAGTCATTCAGATTAAATCCTATTAGTCCCATTCTCTTTTTATCATACTGAATAATCTTTTTTTTAAATTTTTTTATATATATATATTTTTATATAGAGGCATGTTTTTTATTTATTTATTTGTTTGTTTGTACATGCACTGGGTACAGTCAGAAGCATGGGAGGGTGAGAGAATTCACCAGAGCCAGAGTGGGGAGCAGAGCAGGCAGAAGGACCGAAGTACACTGCTGAGGGGAGCAGCGGGGGGCAGGAGAGGTCTGCGCGCCATGTGAGACCCTCCTCTGGTGGCCGGGGAGCAGCCAGGGATTGAACTGGCGCTGCAGAGGCCACGGGCAGCTTCTCAACCCAGCGCTCAACTGCTGCGCCACCAGGGAGGCCCTCATACTGAATAATCTTTAAAGTAAGGGACCCAGATCTATGAAAGTTACTTTTGAAAAATGTAGAAAGAATGTAATCTAGTGGTTGGAACTTATTAGCTTAGAGAATAACAGGAAATATTCTAAAATTCATCAAATAGGACTCAAAAGCAATTTGTTATGCAAAGTAAGATTTTAAAAAGCAAAATTACATAACATTAATGAATAAATCAGTCAGAATTAGTGAAAGGTTTGAATTAGAACATGGCCACAACTAGGGTTCAATTTCAATAGAGAGCCCAAGTAATTACAAAATCCAATGCTATTCTTTAAAATCTATGTGTCCCTACGTGATTTGCACATCAAAGACATCTTTACAGACACATCACCCAAAGCAGTGATAGTGAAGGCAAAGATCAACAGCTGGGACTACATCAAATTAAAGAGCTTCTGCACAGCAAAAGAGACAATAACCAAAACAAAGAGAAACCCCACCGACTGGGAGAACATTTTTGTACCCAACACTAATGATAAAGGACTGATCACAAAAATCTGCAAAGAGCTGATGAGACTCAACAACAACAAAGAAAATAATCCAGTCAAAAAATGGGCAGAAGAGCTAAAAAGAAACTTCTCTGAAGAGGAAATGCAAATGGCCAACAGGCATATGAAAATATGTTCAACATCACTTGTAATCAGGGAAATGCAAATCAAAACTACCATGAGATACCATCTCACACCAGTAGAATGGCACATATTAAAAAAACTAGCAACAACAAATGTTGGAGAGGGTGTGGAGAAAAAGGAACTCTTCTGCACTGTTGGTGGGAGTGCAAACTGGTCCAACCACTATGGAGAGCTGTGTGGAGATTTCTGGACCTACTAAACATAGAGCTTCCATAGGATCCAGCAATTCCACTCCTAGGTATTTACCCAAAGGACACAGAAACATCAATTCCAAAGAACACCTGCACCCCTATGTTTATAGCAGCACTGTTTGAAATAGCTAAGCTTTGGAAACAGCCCAAATGCCCAAAAATAGATGACTGGATCAAGAAGATGTGGTACATATATACCATGGAATATTACTCAGCATTCAAAAAAGATAAACACATGCAATTTGCAGCAACATGGATGGCGCTGGAAGGGATCATGCTCAGCGAAATAAGCCAAAAAGAAAAACAAAAATACTGGATGGTCTCACTCATAGCAGGAATCTAGAAAACTTAAATAAGGGACCAGGAAAATGAATAATTATAAGAAAGTGAAAATCAAAATCAACAAAAAACTATGAAACAGAGACACTTTTTGGGGGGTGGGGGGCGGGAGGGGTGGGACTGGGGTCAGAATGGGGGGGTTGCAATTGTATGGGGAATATAAAAATAAAATTTATTATTTAAAAAAAAATAAAATAAAATCTATGTGTCCAAAGGATCTAGCAACCACATACCTCGTTTTCTCATTATTTCCATTTTAAATAAACTCTCTTACTCCAACAACTGGAATTGTGTTACATCAAGTTAACAATTTAAAGATTTATTTGTTTTTTTGCATAGAAGAACTGGGGTACAGGCCAGAGGTGCAGGGAGTGAGAGAGGATTCACCAGAGTCAGAGTGGGGAGCAGAACAGGCAGATGTACTGAAATACACTGCTGAGGGGAGCAGCAGGCAAGACAGGAGAGGTCTACTGCGCCATGTGGGTCAGCTCCCTGGCCAGGGATCAAACTCATACTCAGAGGCTGGCGAGAGCTTAATAGCACTGAGACTTTAACCCCTGTGCCACCAGGGAGGCCCGAGTTTACCGATTTTGATCCAGAAAATATTGTGACTCAAACTGTGGTTGGGAGGAAGGGGAACTAGAGTCTTTTGGATATATTCTCTCTTTTTTTTTAAAGATTTATTTATTTATGCATACAAGAACTAGGGTACAGGCCAGAGGTGTGGGGGGGTGAGACGATTCATCAGAGACAGAGTGGGGAACAGAACAGGCAGATTGACTGAAATACACTGCTGAGGAGAGCATCAGGTGAGTCAAGAGAGGTCGGCTTCGCCATGTGGGTAGCTCCCTGGCCGGGGATCGAACTCTTGCTGCAGTGACACTGCAGTGACTGCAGATAGCTTCATAGGTTGTGTCTTAACCCCTTGCACCACTAGGGAGGCCCTGCATATATTCTTAATGGAATAAGAATGTGCACTAAGCCCTGTTTCCATGATGAACTCAAGGAAGCTAAAATATGGTGCCACCTGATATTGCCAAGGTGTGTATATTCTCCTATTGCAACTACTAAAGCATTTAAAATAGTTATAGAGCACTAGAACCATATGTAGAGACAATACCAGGGGTGTGATTCCCTCACCTACTCACACCTATTTCATGGTAATGCCAACAATCTGCTATTGTGCCTACAAAATAGACCCTCAAAAGTTTCTAAACATTGAGTGAGGGCCAGATAATTTTAATAAAATGATGAATTATAGTCCTGAAGGAACTTCAACAATTAATTGTTCATTTCAGGATATGAATAATGTGTTCAGAGTTGAAATTAAATAGCACCTGTGGCATGTCCTAAAAGCAAGTAATAGCTAGCTGCAAGTCAAATGAAATGTGTAATTATATGCTCTTACATATCCTTTCCCATAG